ATTGGATATCTTTGTCAAAAATTGATGCGAGGCATAATCAAATAATTATATCAGCATTCTGAATAACTAAATCCTCTATAATTACTCCATCAATGTATAAAACGAAACACATATTAAACAGCAACAGCTTAATCTATGCTGAATCCCTAGTCTCTAAGTCTTGAATAGAAAAAAACTTGTGCCTTATTCCAGAATGTTCAAATTTTGTTTTCTCAATCTATGTGATAAAATGATTTAAATTCGATAATAATGTGAAACTTTACATTCCTATTTAATTGAGTTTACAACCAATTCTAGTTTAATTTGTCATATTTCCCAGAATGCAGTCATGGAAATTATTGAAAAAGAAAAAAAAAAAAACATCGCATAGGAGGACATGGAGATAAAATTATGTAATAAGATGAGAAGTTTATCGAATAGGAATCGTATTTTTTCGAATAAAAATGGATGCTAGTATGTTTTCGAACAACTTTATTGCATATAAACCAAATAATTAACGAATTAAAAAAAATATGGAATAGGAATGACAAAATTAGCGACTAGCAACCGTTTGTTTTAAATATTAATGACATCGAATAGGAAACGAGTGTTTTCGAGAAAAAAAATATGTAAATTTTATGATATATGAATCGTATTGTCACATTTCCTGTAATTGGAATAGCAATTTATCAAATACAAATACATGTAACAAATAATGGAATAGAAATAACAAATAATCGAATAGGAATCACATTCTATAGAATAAGAATGTTTTAGAATAATTTTGTTATTTTTATACTGAATTTGACTAGATGGGATGTTCCACTCACCTGATCAATATATATAGGGCTACTTTAATTGCAGAATTTTAAGATTTTTGTTTTATGCCCTATTTGTTGTTTTGTAGTTATTTATGGATGCCATGGATTTTGGAAAGTATTGTCAAAAATAAAGTTGTCATGAAGATATCTAAAACCGTACACTGTTCAAAATGTACATGTATACACGGGGGAAACTGTATGTTTATTTCTAGTATTCTTGAAAAAAAAAAATGGAAACCGGAATAGAAATAAAGTGATACTGATAAATCCCGTAAAACAACTTCCCAGCTAAAAAAGATGTTCAAACTTTGAGGTGGGGTCAATATTCAACAGGGTCAATTTTCAACTTGTGGACGTCATCCGGGGTAAGAAAAAAAAAATCAAGCTGTTGAAAAATACCCCGGGTATAAATTCAACGACTTTTGGTCTCAATATTCAACGTTGAAAAATGACCCCGGTTCAATATTCAACGTTGAAAAATGACTCCCGGGTCAATTTTCAACTCGGGTCAATATTCAACGTTACACCGGCAATTGCTCTTTGAGCAATAAGCCCGGCTAAAAATGACATCTCACAAACAAAGACACCGAAAGCGAGGGACCACAATTCTTTGAATTTGCTTGTATTCTTTTTCTTTGGAGTTGAATTTCGATACTTTTAAGACTCATTTAATGTCTGTATATGGTGCTGTACACCTCTTAATCAAATTGTGGATGAAAAAATATCTAGTATTTTCGTAAATCTTTTCTATGAATAATTTAAGATTTTTCAGTTGATATCTATTCAAAACCCCTGTTTGTGCATGCTTGGTTTTTTTAATTTGTGTGTATCTAATGATTACTATTGTTTTTTTTTTAAATTAAGAATATCTTGAAAAATTATCAGTTGGTGTAGTACGTTGCATATGTCCTTAATTTACCGATTATTGCATAGAACTAGGTGTAAAATGTTATGGGACGGATCCAACACCATTTTTCACAGAAATAACTGATCACTGTTGCCTAACCTCAAAATATTAAACCCAGCTCAGAAGTCAGTATGTTTAGAAATTTTAAAATGCTTGCTTAATTAAGAAAAAAATTATTGTTTTTGCAAGCAAGCCATTTCTAAAACCAATTGTCGGTCGTTAATAAAATCACCGTATGTAATTTACTATTTCTTACAATTCGTAAATAAGCCAGAAATATTCCCATCTTTTGCGAGTGTTGAAACCTTGGAGAAATTCTTTTTTTTATTTACAATTCTTTGATATAACTGTACATACCGCGTGTCGACAAAATCTTTATTATCGTCACATGTTTAATGACGTCGTCTTGAACTGTTGTTGACTTATCAAAAACTGTGGTAGTTTGATTTATGTTATTTTTAATAGCGGGAAAAATTTTCAATGACGTCATCAGCTGTGTTGTGAGCGGTGTTGTTGTTTCCGGTGTAAGTGACTGAGAACAGTATGCTCCTGTGCGTGATGACACAGGGTAAGTTGTATCTAAAGCTACTTTCAATGTCGACTTCATTGTAATCTCTGTAGTGGAGAGTGAAGGCCCTGGAATCATTTTGACAGTTGCAGGATGAGTTGTGAAAAATTGAGTCCTTGACGGAACTCTGACTTCTTTCTGAGTTGTAAGTCGAGGTTTCAACAAACCAGTGGTCAATACATCGCGACCGTTACCAGTCGGTACTAAAATTAAGAGAAACGAAAATATATTTTTTGTTAACATACCCGGTAGGAATATTTTTTTTGTCTTGTATACATATGAAATCATATCTTTTATAGTGTTAAAAATGTAACAATTTTAAACAATACACGCACATAACTGTATATATACTTTTAAATGACCTAAAATTTTTTGATTTTTTTTAATTTACGTTTAGTGGCAAAATACTTAATGGCATAATACATGTAGTATATATAAATTATATTATTAATACAAAGAACCCTACAGTAAAACTTGCTTGGTAATAAAACGAATCTCTTGGATCCCAGCTACTGAGTATATAAATTTAACGAATTTCTTATATGGATATAACGAATTAGGGATATAGCAAAGTAATTTCATAGGCCCCAGTGACTTCGATATAACCGAGTTTTACTGTATCATGAAGTACATGTACTTTGTCTTACTTTCTCCGCATGTTTCAATGAAGTCGTGACAACAGTCATCAAGTTTTATGCAGGGTAAATCACAGCGACAGCTCTGAACGTTTCCCTTCTTTCTTCCAGTATTTTTGCAGTTTCCACGTGCTCCTTTGTCACAACCTACAGTTCCATAAGAAGGCTATCAACAAGCCCCAAAAGTTATACTTCTCATTATTTTAATAGCTACATTTTTAGCTCTACTGGTCAGAGACCAGAAGAGCTTATGCGATAGTAATGCGTCCGGCGTCCGTCCGTCTGTCTGTCTGTCCGTCTGTCTGTAAACAATTTTTCAAAACGCTACTCCTCCTACAATTTTAGTCTGATTTCAATATTACTTGGCACACAAGTAGACTACACTAAGATACATAGAATAGTGCATCGGTTTTTAATTTCGATGAACGGTGTTGCCATGGTTACTAAAAATAGAATTTTCTGTGAAATTCCTTAAAAATGCTACTCCTTCTACAGTTTTGGTCTGATTTCAATATAACTTGGCACACAAGTAGACTACACTAAGATACATAGAATAGTGCATCGGTTTTTAATTTCGATGAACGGTGTTGCCATGGTTACTAAAAATAGAATTTTCTGTGAAATTCCTTTAAAACGCTACTCCTTCTACAGTTTTGGTCTGATTTTAGTATAACTTGGCACACAAGTAGACTACACTAAGATACACAGAATAGTGCATTGGTTTATGATTTCGGTGAACGGTGTTGCCATGGTTACTAAAAATAGAATTTCCTGTGAAATTCCATAAAAACGCTACTCTTTCTACAGTTTTGGTCTGATTTCAATATAACTTGGCACACAAGTAGACTACGCTTAGAAACATAATTTAGTGCATCGGTTTTGATTTGGATGAACGGTGTTGCCATGGTTACTAAAAATTGAATTTTCTGTGAAATTCCATTAAAACGCTAGTCCTTCTACAGTTTTGGTCTGATTTCAATATAACTTGGCACACAAGTAGACTACACTAAGATACATAGAATAGTGCATCGGTTTTTGATTTCGGTGAACGGTGTTGCCATGGTTACTAAAAATAGAATTTTCTGTGAAATTCCTTTAAAACGCTACTCCTTCTACAGTTTTGGTCTGATTTCAATATAACTTGGCACTCAAGTAGACTACACTAAGATACATAGAATAGTGCATCGGTTTTTGATTTCGATGAACGGTGTTGCCATGGTTACTAAAAATAGAATTTTCTGTGAAATTCCTTAAAAATGCTACTCCTTCTACAGTTTTGGTCTGATTTCAATATAATTTGGCACACAAGTAGACTACACTAAGATACATAGAATAGTGCATCGGTTTTTGATTTCGATGAACGGTGTTGCCATGGTTACTAAAAATAGAATTTTCTGTGAAATTCCTTTAAAACGCTACTCCTTCTACAGGTTTAGTTTGATTTCAAAATAAGTTGGCACACAAGTAGACTACACAAAGATACATAAAATAGTGCAATGGTTTTTGATAAGTACAAACCAGTAGAGCTACAGTCTCGACAGAGACTTCTGGTTGAACACACGGTAGAGATAAAGCATACTTTATGCAGAGACACATGTTTATTGTGGCACAGTCTGCTGCCAACTATATATAAGAAACGATCATCCTTACCCATTTAAGAATGTACATGCTATTTCATAAACAAATAATTTTGACATTTGCAAATTGGGGATTTTAAATAGAGTATACAAAATATACATAAATGTTTACTGAAATGCTGAAAAAATTGTGTTATAGCTTTTTCGAACCCATCGATATTTTTCTGGTAACCTTTATAATTATACAATGAAGGACCTGTTTTGCTATGTACGTATGTTTTAATTACGTTTAGATAATGTATTCTATTTGACTCAAGCAGTATATCTTATAAGCACTTTTTTGCAAAGAATATGTTTGCCTTGCTTCAAATCGCGTACTACTATATAATTATATAGACATCAAAACTACATCAATATAATTCATTATTGCAAAAAATATCGTAATCATATTTGTGATAAGTAAGTGGTTGTAATTTTTTGTAAATAAAGTATGTTTAATACCTAGAAAATCCTACCTTTAAGTTTGTGTTCATTCCGCTTAGGTTTTAAATTGGCCTTAGAGATTTCTGAAAACTTGAAAAAAATCACATCGATATTTTATATCATTGGGTATAAACCACGAACACAGAACTACAGCAATCTTTTAATATCATTTAATTTGATTATGTTAGTGATTGTAAATTACATGTATCTTTTTGTAAATAGAGAAAAAAAAGTATGTTTATTATATAGAAAAGCCTACCTTTAAGTCTGTTTTCATTCCGCTTCGGTTTTGAATCTGTCTTAGGGATTTCTGAAACTGGTGAAAAAAATCACACCGATATTTTATATCAATAGGCATAAACCATGAATGTGATACATGTTTACAATGTTCAAAGTTAACTATAAATGTTCAAGGAAAGATCACTCCTTCCATTTTATCCTTTAAAGAAGGACACACTTACTTAAGTAAATAATTACGAGAGTTTGCAAGAGTAGCAACATATTGAAATGTTTAATTATCTCAAGTTCTGGTGACTATGAAAACTTCGTCCACACAGTACGTCAGACAAATAAAAGGAAGGGGAAAGCGGAAACGTTAACATCTTGTCTGTCGGACTTTATGCTGTAGGAAGTTACAATGTACTAACTAACGCCTAACTGTGTTGAAGTTAAAAAGAACACTGTGACAACAACACTTTCCTTCTGGTAGATGTACTTAACTTTAACATTTCTTTCAAAACTTTAAAATTTACGCTTTTGCCAGTTTTAATAGAATAAAGTGTTAAATCTTGCTTTTCAGGTTTATACATGTTTTTAAGTTAAAATTGTATATTATAACATTTACCTTAACCTTTAATTGTTATAGTTCGTTGGCTTAATCTCCTTTATATAATTACATAAACTGTTTTCCTTTGTCATATTGTATATTCTGATATACACCTTTTTCCATAACATATTTTGCCATAAAACATATTTTATAAGGGATGTCTGAAATATTCATTATGTTTATGATTTAGCGTTTCTCAATACAAAGTATTTCATTTTGCAATCGATGTTTGTCAGACATATTATTTTGATACCAAATAAAGAGCTTCCCTGGTGGAAATCTCTACTCATTGACAAAAATTTAAGATGGAAAGCAAAATCTTGAAAATATAGGTATCAAGTTATTGAACTCTTAAAGACTATGTATAAGTATACAAGTTAATGAGAAAACACTGAATTTACATTTATATTCCAGTCAACCAAGGTAGGTTTGATCTCTCCTTTACATACCTGAATCACACTCTTCACAAAGTTCTTTAAAAAGATGTTTTGCAGGGTCCATCAAATGCTCTACCAAAACCCTGCATGTATCTTTATGTACTTTTCGGAAAGATAAACAGCTATAAAGGAGAAACATTTGGAGGAACTTCAACTAAAGATTTTGTTAAGTTTAATATATGACCTTCCCTAATATGTTGACGGTGCGACCGTTAGGGCGAGCGCAAACTCTTCTATTGTTTTAATTTAGATCAGGCTCGCCAAACCGCACGTGACATTTGGTGCGTCTAGACTCTGACGTCACATGACGTCGTATGTAAGTTACAATACCAAGAAAAAACTTAATAGTGCTGAAAGTTAATGAAAACAGTTACGTTTACAATTTATCTTCAATATGTATCCATTTAATCAAGGCGAGTAAACTTTTTGTTGAACATTTGCCGACATTCTCGTGAGAACACAACTTTGCTAGTGATGCATTGTGGGTCAAAATTACTGCACCAAAAAAATTTAAAGAATGAATGTACAGTAGTCCGAATTTTCTCTTCGCCCAGGCGTTGTCGTTAGAGCTCGCAGTTACGAGCGTCGCTGCTCGCTATAATTGACAATTCCGTATAAAAAAAATAGAAAGGAGACTTTCTGATCCACGACTTTCTTTTACACTTTATGTCACCATTCCTCACTTTAAAAAAAACTATGCTTTTTGTCCCCCGCTTGAAAAGTGGGGGGTATTAATTTGGGTTTGTCCCTCCCTCCGTCCGTCCGTCCGTCTTTCTGTCTGTCTGTAA